TGTACTCCTAGCTCTTGTTGATTCTAACTACAGATTTGTGTATGTAGATGTTGGTGCAAATGGTAGGTCAAGTGATGCAGGTATATTTGCCAATTCATCACTGTATCGGGCACTGAACAGTAACTCCTTGAAAATTCCAGGTCCAAAGCCATTGCCTGGAAGATGCCTTGAATACTGCCTATGTGATTGTTGGGGACGATGCCTTTCCACTAAAATATAACATCATGAAGCCATATCCCCACCGGGACTTAGTTATGGAAAGGAAAGTATTCAATTACAGACTTTCCAGAGCCAGACGTGTATCAGAAAATGCTTTTGGTATACTGACCAACCGCTTTGGAGTATTTCAAAGGAGCTTATCATTAACACCTTAGACATGTACAAAGGTTGTTCTTGCATGTATTGCTTTACACAACTTTCTGTGTACAACAAAAGACAAAAAATACACAGAAACAGAAGTTTTTCCACTGGATAATGGAAGCAGGCCCCAATCACTACTTCAACAGGGTGGCAACAGGAGTGCCGATAATGCAAGGCAGATTAGGGAAGAATTTGCAGAATATTTCTGTTCTAATGGCCAAGTTGATTGGCAGTGGGATCACATTGTCTGATTCTATGCATGAAGTCAAATGAAGTGTTCATATGGGACAAGCTATTTTCCAAGTCCAATACAGTAAAATGGCACTAATTATTTGATTTATTCATGTTCAGCTTATGTCAATGCCGACAGTAACTTGTTTTATGTAATTCATAAAATTTTGTAATATATATCTATCCATACCAATGGATGTACATGTACATGGTTTATTTAAAGTTTACATGCTTACAATACTAACCAAGTTACTTATAGTTGTTTTTTGATGAACCTGGCTTCTAAGAAAAGGATCCAACAGCTTAAACCATTCCCAGGTAGACTCATAGATATCATCTCGACCAGCCCCACTTTGCCGGGAGAGGGTTTCCTTCCTTAGTTCCTTGCAATAGTAGGTCCGCAGAGCAGAAATCTTAACTGGGACCTGATCCGCTGTAATGAAAAAATGAAATTAAAATGTTTTCATTTGACATATAATCATGATAAATGTATACTTTAATGTAAACATTTGTGTAACCTCAAAAATATGCATGTTTTTACTTTTTACCCTGACCATGCTGACAGATCTCCAATAATCATGATAATGTAAAATACTGTAGATGTTCCAATGAATTTTGCTGTAATGCTCAACTACTACTGATCATATTATCACTAAAATGTTAAACTTTAAAATAATACATGTATAGTTTTTTGCCCAAAAGAGTGAGGCACTTTTATCGTTGATAAAATTCAGATTAGTCTAATGGGGTTGAGCTATACATCATGTTAATACTCAAAAATATTTAAGTTTAATGGGAAAACGTCTTTTATAGAAAATGTATAGGCCTAAACGTCATCATTGGTTGAAAAACAGTCAGAAGAATGTCCAGTTATCTTATGTTCATATTTAAAACCAATTTACTTAACATGATTAAACATGAACAAGAAATAAATTTAGAATATACATTTTATGTTAATATTCAAGACCAACTAATTACCCCCGGTTGGAAGCCTCACCAAATATAGGTCATTCTGCGAGAACCGCGTAAACTGACAGATACTCGGTCAATGTTTTCGGTAAAATGTTGCGTTATTATAATAAAATGAAACCTTTATAAATGGATCTTTTCATATTGTACATATGTTTTATTTACCAAAAAAACATCAACAATGCTTCTAAATTGCCTAAATTTGTACTGATAGCAGGCTGTGGTTCAATGTTTGTATTTTGGTTGTACAGTCAGACCTCGTCTATCCGAACTTCAGATGAATGATCGAGATTATGGATCGTGACTCTGGTTCGCCATCGATGATAATGTGGGCGATACTTCATGACCAAATTTAGGTAAAGTCATACTAAATTTGTTAAGCAAAGAAGTAAGATTAGTTTATCAAATAGAAGCACGTCGAATATATTTCTGTCACTCACCTGTCATAACACCGTTCATCAGTTCGGAAATCGAAACGTAGGCGGCCTGTCTCTGTTCACGTTTTGAATAAAACGAACTAGACACATTCCAAAGACACTCGTGGGAATGGTAGTATGAAATAAACCTTTCAATGTCATGGTTGCTGAGGTCAAATTTTTCTTTAACATTTTTCCGACGTTGTTGTGTCGTCCGTTGTTGTGGTATCGCCATGTTTGATGTCTGCGTAAATATCACGAGACTACGAAACGCGATCTGATTGGAAATAGAGCAAGTTCTATTCCTTGCAACTCGCTTGCAACTTGTTGCATGCAACAAAAATCTGTCCAACTCCCCTGTTCACACTGTGAAATTTGTTGCATGCCACAAGTTTTATACAACTAGTTGCAACGTGTGAACGCACCTTTAGGAAACCCGCCACCGATCTGAGTCCTACATATATGTAAATGTCTACAGAAGACGAATTATGTACAGACACGTGCCTGTTATTTTGGGCCATTTGACGTAATTTCCATAGACTTACATGTTAATTTAGTGTATCATAAATAATTTTCATGAATTTAATATTCGTAAGATCCAAGTCAAATGTTGCACATTTGTGAGGAATCATTTCTGTTTAATTTTCCGTTGCTTATTTATCGAATGGCAACCATTTAATCAACATGAGTACAGTGCCGTGAACTCCCTTAACATGGCGGCCTATGGGATTGTGCATTGTGGAACCATACATGAGTTGACAAAAGTGATGTCTTTAGTTAAATAGTGGTCTGAAAACTGAACTGGAATTATGTGCACAGAGCAGAGATGATTTCACATTTGCCTGTCATATTTTACAAAGATCCATTCTGAACTCACTTTATTAAAATTATTTATGCCACACTGGAAAAGTCTATGGAAATTACGTCAAGTGGCTCAATATAACTGGCACGAGTCTCTATATTCATTTGGTGACTGTAATAAACTCGTAATTCACTCAGGTCTTGCGTTGTGTGTGGGTTGGTAGTTGATTTACAAATACACAAAGACGCTTGAAGATCCAGGTTACAATTGGTCTTCAGTAACCCATGCTTGTCGTAAGAGGCGACTAACGGGATCAGGTAGTCAGACTCATTGACTTGGTTGTCACAAGTGATCGTATCCCAATTGCGTTTATCAATGCTCATGATCTTTGATCACTGGACTGTCTGGTCTAGAATCGATTATTTACAGACCGCCTTCATATAGCTGGAATATTGCCGAATAAACAAACAAACAAACGGCATAATGGAGCCTGCACAACAAGTCACAGTAATGAAAACGTCAATGGCCGATAACATGTAACAAATATTTATTGGTACAATAATATCAGTGTTTCAACAGGTTACACTGATTACCTGACTGCGTTCGGTTTTACGCCGCTTTTAGCAATATTCCAGCAATATCACGGCGGGGGACACCAGAAATGGGCTTCACACATTGTGCCCATGTGGGGATTCGAACCCGGGTCTTCGGCGTGACGAGCCAACGCTTTAACCATTAGGCTACCCCACCGCCCCTTCATCAGGTTACAACACCCATAGATTAGCATGAGGCACCTTACAGTGAGCGATGGAAGAGCAATGTTTTCCATATATATAGATTCTTTGAGTTATCATATTTGGAAATTTGAATGATGGAATGTAAGACGATATTCCAAGTGTTGAAACGAAAAACTAACTTTTATGGATTTTCTTTCTTTTTCGGACAGTAACCAGGCAAAGGCGCCAACATGGGTACACATGGAGAACATTTTATAACAGTTTTATACACTAAGTTAAAATGTAGCTTTGAAATCGGTATTTCCAACAACTGTTGGATACTCCAGTGGCCTTGGTTGTGTGCTCTGTTGCTGAAAAGCCTTGAAACGCTTATTTAAAATGCTGATGCAGCCAATATGTCTTAAACCAACACCCCATCCCTCCCTCCAACACCCCATCCCTACCTAACTTCTCCAGCGGTAATAACATAACTACGCTTTGGAAAATAGTACCTCGTAAAATCGCTTTAAAATAATGGAATAATTTATTAACATTTGTTCATATGATAAAATGATCTTTTAAATGCAATATCATTGGACTTAATAACAGCTGAAACGTTATTTGATCAAGTGTGTGCGCCGGAACATCGTTCATTCACGACTGACGGGTGTCTAGTGACGGGTGACGGTGTGGTGAGGAAACACACTTTGGCAAAAACCTGTCAATATTTGGGAAAGTCAGCGGTTAAAAGTTGGAATATTTAAAAGGTAACCATCCCACGAATACACCTAGAAAATGTTTTCTGTCAAGAAACTTAAGTTTGAAGATTAAACGACATTTTGTTCTGTGGAAGGCGTGTTACATTCACGTCATTGGTCCCAGTAGAGTACAGCAGTTCCAAGAAGGATAACTCTAGTCGTAATCCGAGTAAATGGGAAGAATCCGCCTCATTGGAACAGATGGTCGACTGACAGATGAGCCATTCGAGATGTTGAAATGGAAAACACCACAATTAAATGGACCTGAGAATAGTGTATGTACAGAATGAAGATTTACGGCATGCCACAAAGACTATGACGTCATCATGGTGGCAGTGTGAGGCTGAGGCTGAGTGGGCAGAGTGGTGGAGTTACAAGGGTTTGACAACAATTTAATGATGGACTGATGTTGTTTCTCATTAATTGAAGAGTAACTGTTAATATTGGAATATTGTGCCTGGTTCCATGGCATGCACGCCTTTGCAGACTCACTAGTCACACTTTCAGGTAGCACCTTTAGTCGGTATCTTGCTGCTTCTATTTCCCCGAATTCAGTTTTAACACAAACAGGTTGAAGGAATTTAAGGGCTGTAAAATTCTTATCACTCTTCCTACTAAGTCACCGTCAACTTTAACTAGGTCATTGACCTTGATCGGGGTTAGCCTAATGGCGGCCATGTTTGTTTACAAACAATGCAAACAATTGTTTTCCTTCTTTTTTATAGGTTAATTATTCTAAAAAGACTACTATTTATAACGCAAATTTTATTGCAAAATAATAATGTCTAATAAAAAGAGTATTCATATTCTTTAACCTTTCTGTTTTCTTTGATAAATCTCGGAAGTTGTTTGGACAGCACGTTCTAATTATCAATGAAACGGCAAAAGTTGTCAATGAACTTGGATCATTAAAAGTAGTTCCGTCAACCAATCATATTTCTTCTCTGCTTAGCTGACCAATCAACGTTGAGAATCACTGAAAAGCACGTGTGCGATTATCACACAAATAATCACCTGTGTATCCTAGCCGGTATGGGCAATAAAACAAAATATAGTGTTGAAAATGGCATTTTGAACAATTATCTAATATCTAGGTAGGTTATGTTTCACCAAAAATGCTGGGAGTGTGCAATTTGGGCTAAAAGACACACAGAAACGTCTGAAACCAAATAGCCAGCATAAAGTATACAAACCGCAGCTCGGACGGAATACCAAAACACACACAATGCAACACAGTCGTCATCTGTTGTCACGGAAGAGATGCTGTGGCAAGTCTGACTTTATGCCACTGACACAAATACTGTAAGGCAGTATATCTTTGTACATTCTTCAGTGTGTTATCGGCACGGGGTTCTGTGAGCAGATACACTGTACTGATGTCTGTTTTGCTCCGTTTACAGATGTAGTGCACAGGAGTGTTTCCAGCTCTGTCAGCTAAGTTCACATCAGTGCCATTTTGGATCAACAGATGAACTGTTCTAACATCTACACGAGATCTCTGACACAGTAAGTGAAGGGGTGTCTGCCCATAGTTATCGGTCTTTGTAACATCCAGCCCGTTTCGTATCAGCAGTGTGATAGCCTTCATCTCTTCCGTCTCTGTCCCCTGTTGTCCTTCCTCCAAAGAACGTCGTGTAGCTTCTAGTTCCTCTTTATCTATACCATTCTTTTCACACAGATAGTCCACCAGGATCTCCCAACTGTCCGCCTTGAAGACCCTTGTATCTTTTGTCGCGTCTGTCCATCCCTCCAGTATACCCCCCTGATCTTCGCTTTCTCTTTGACATAGGACGTGCAAGGCCGTCTCTCCATTCTCATTAGCCTTACTGACGTTTGCTCCATGATCAATCAACATACGAAGTAGATCAACGTCAACTTCGCGATTCTTGCACGCTTCGTGAAGTATAGTCTCTCCATAAGCCAGAAGCCTGAACAGAGCATATGGATCATCCTTGAAGAAGCTTCTGACTACACAGGAGAGGATACTTCTAGCTGAAGTTGCCTGCTTTGAAATGTTCACGTTTGCTCCACGTTCCAGAAGGATCCTAGCAGCAATGGTGTTGCAACATCCTACAGCTGACTGCAGCAAGGTTCTCCCTGTCCTGCCTCTCCTGTTGACACCAATGCACCTCCATGCCTGCAAATGGATTCAGTAAGAGGTTAAAAATACAAGTGCAGACTTGATTTACACACACCGTGGACACATAGCTGGTATATTGGTGAATGCAGTGTTAAAACATAAAAAAACACAAAAAAAACTTACTTACAAGAACGAAAGACTTCAGAGGTTTCTATTCTGTGAGTATTCCTTACTTATTAAAAAACCTTCACGTCAATGATTCAATGTAGAACTTATAACTGCTTCGCAATCCCGCAAGAACCCTAAGGCATGGCTGTGTTTCATTATGTTTTCATTGAAACGTTTAGTCAAATGTACAATAACAGCATATTTTAACAAACAAAATCCATGAAAACAAAATTTTCAAGCAAAGAAATCTGATATGTTGTTATTCTTACCCGGCCAAAAAATGGGAAATAGGTGTTAGAGACACTTGAGTTTATCATCTGCTCACAGAGCTTCCTTTCACAGCAGAGCTCATGTTGTATCACGGTATAGTTCCCCTGACGTATTTCTGTAGCCAGCCTCTGAACAAGTGCGTCCATGGCTGAGGACGATTCATTGAAGAAGATGCACATCTCATTCGCACCACCCTGTGGCACATGCACTTTACACTTTTGCATGATGACTGAAATAGGAAACTCTTGTGCAGCAAAGAGAGGGTCTTTGTTTCCAACTGCTACTGCCACACTCTCATAGATGGATGGGTGGGAGAATGCAACACCATTTCCACTCATTTTAAGATAGCTTCCTAATAAACTAGAAGCAGTGCTTTGCACCTCTGTTCGTAGGGTTGCATCTGAAATACTGGAGATATCAAGTTGGCCATCTGCTTTCAAAAGTATTTTAAAATGATCGTAGCATTCCTGTTTATCAATCAAAACACGTGTGGTGTAATTGAGAAATTTGAGAGGTGAAGAAAAGAACTTGACAATATCAATTACATGTCCACTGGTTCTCAGTTCAACATACATCTCACAGCAATGAGGAAATCCATGAGGACACTGACTGTATATTTCCATCTTAGTACTTTCCGGAATGTCACTTATATTATGTTTGGAAAGATGAAAGTTTAATATGTCAAGTTTCTCCTTATCTGTATTCAGCTTATCAGGATTGACTATTGCATCCTCTTCCAAAATGACATCTCCATATTTCCCTAACTGATTCCTTGCAGCTTCCAAAACATTGAGCCTGCTCACAAATATTATGCTTGGACAACTTCTGTCTTCAGCTGCCTTGGTCTTTCGTTCTAAAATTATTTGAAACACGTGAAGCCAAGTGCTAAGAGCTCTTTGGTCAAAATCGAAAACTCCCAAAACATCGTTCATGAACACGACACTGTCAGGAGTCTTCCTTAAGACAACGAAGTAGTCGTCGGGGGTATTAATCTTGAACACTTCCTTCCCGTCATCCTGCAGACTCTTCAGCGTCATGTAACCAAGAGTTGTCTTGCCGTCACCAGCATTTCCGGTAACAGTTACCCATCGGTGCCTTGTTTGAAGCTTCTCTATGACGGTTTCAATGGCAGACACTCTGACCATTCCTCTGTTCCAGATATCAATGTCTTTCCTTGTTTGGTCTGGAAATATGATTATATTTTTAGAAGATGTTAACGTACGTTTTGGATAGAAGTGCACACACTGCTTTAGCTGTGTAGTAATTTGTGAATGATATTGTGAAGTTAAAATGTGTATGTACACAAATTGCTTTTAACAGAACGTTGTATTTATAACGGACTTGGATATATGGTCTCTTTGCTACATGCCTGAGTGAGTGTGGTTTTAAGCCGATTTTAGCAATATTCCAGCAATATCACGGCGGTGGACACCAGAAACGGGCTTCACACATTGTGACCATGTAGGGAATTGAACCCGGGTCATGACGAGCTAACGTGACCTTAACCACTAGACTACCCCACCGCCAGCTACATGGCTGAAATAACGTCGAAGCGGTGCTACTCACTCCCTCCCAGTTTTACCTTTTAAATGACGGATCCTTTCTTCATCCACGCAATTGTTTACTGGAAAAAAACAAACAAACACACTTAGGAGAAACACGGGGTTTCACGGGTGGATTTCCCTTTTCGATGTTTTAATTTTCAAAGAATTCTTCCCAAAACAACATCGCTCACATATCATGTCTCATCACATGCACAGGGGAGACGGCCCTTTAGTCAATACAATCCAGTGGCGTGTCTAAAGTCATGTTTGATGTGTTTGAGTGAGTGAGTGAGTTTAGTTTTACGCTACACTCAAAAATGTTCCAGCTATAAATTGTACCCACCTCACTCAAACTCAATTGGGTATTTTGCCATTTTCCATTAACTGTAAATATATATTCAAGTTTAAATGTTGGTTTAAGTGCTTGTTAATTAATATTTGATATGTAATATTAGAAACGATCAGAAAAACTGCAAGTTGCCAAGTTCATGTGCTGAAATAGAACCTATCACTATACTTCAGTTATTTTATCTATTTTGTGTGTACGCATGTAAGATCAAATTTGTTGAGTATTTACAAAAACATCAAGCGTGCTTGTACTCTATAGACTTAATAGGAATTGAGTTTTCACATAAATATTTGCGTAATTTTTACTCGGATACACGGCTATCTGTACGTCTGTCATAACCAGTGTTATATATATCATATGTGCATATGTGCACATGTGCACATATCACTTTTGCCTAGCAACCATCGTTTCTGGATTTCATCCTTTCATCATGAAACAATTGAACGTGACGTCACTGAAGAGGGTACACAGGACCAAAAGCCGGATAGTAAACCATTGAAATAAACGTAATACGTAATAAACATGCCATGACCGGATTTACGTATGTTTTCAGATATTTCCTAACTTCGGGCATATATTTCATATGAATCTATACCTTTGAAACATATGCTCATCGTACATTTTCGTATGCACAAGCACCTCGTTCATGTATGCCCGGACCGGATTGTCAGCGATATCCAAACATGAATTGCAAAACAGATATCCCGTTAAATACATGATCATACAGTATTTCCAATGCATTCGTTTGAATTTCATTGGGTGCTGAAATTTCCGATTTCGTTCTAAGTTTACTCGGGTTGGAAACATGTGAATGTACTTAGGTGGGGAAACACATGAAAATTTTCAAATTTGCAAATATTTACACACCTTAGATATTTATGTATCATACCGGATTTCATGGGTATGTGTATGAATGGTTCATACACCTTCATCTTACCTGTGCCCAAGCAAGATGATCATATGTTTCCATCATGTGAATTACTTGGTTCATGTAATTTCATATTCACACATTTTAGTACGTTTGAAATCAACGTTCACATGACCTCAATATTCTTATCACCACAAGAGCCTGACAAAGAAAACAGTATTACGCAAGCTAACACGCCTTATCAAGCTGCACTCGGTCTTGCTACCAGTATCAGTTACGCCTTGTCTGTGGTGTTGGCAAATCTTGTGAGGTGCATGTTTCGAGGGATTAAAAGGTTCAGTGGTGAACAAAGGATGATGCGTTGCCCCTTTGTCCTCGCAAGTGTCCCTAGCTGTCCCAATAGAATAGCACTTTGTCTCTCTTGGATCACAGCCAAATACACCACACGTACCAACTCGTAATTTATTAAGTCTGTTCAGCTCGCGCATCATTACTGTAACGTTCTTTTGACACAACATAATCAGAACATTATTGCACTGCATGTGACCTTCCTTAATAGTGCCTGAACAATGTTATTTCTCCATTCGATCATCCTTTGCTGTAATAACGCCATACATAAACTTTAAAGTTGTCCACATTTGTTTCACTAACGCAAAAGTATACGATAACAAACAATGCCATATCAAATTATATATTCTGTGAGACATGAAATGAAAAATTGTTTATATTATAGGCATGTTGGTAACTTCAAAATGTTACTAGCCCCAAATGGGGTTAACGAGACCAGACACCAAGATATGGTGAATTAATTCAGATGTATGGAATATCTAAAAAAATTACCAGACCATCGGGCTGGCTAGCTGTAAATCTAGACCGTGCATCAGAAATCGAGCCCGTCTCGGGCGGTCGTACGGGCCTTATTTTATACACTGCATTTAGATATGTTTATTTTGTAAGCCGACCCCCAAAATGAGATAGGTTTCTTGCAGATGTTAACAGACCCTTGACCTGAGGAGACCTAGACTTGCTTCATTTAAGGCTTTAGCATTGTAGAGAGGGCTAGGCAGTAGGGAAAATAATGTGGTTCAGGGACTGTGAGACAGACTAGAAAATGCATGGCAACCTACACTTCATTTTGACAATGATTAAGGCATCATTTTAAAACACAAGGGTTATTTCCTTTGCGTTAACTGACAGGCTTTCGGTGTCAAATTATTTGGAACTCCGGCCAAAGGTAATGTTATGCTGTCTGGAAATATGGCCTTTTTGTAATGCTTTGGTTGCACATAATGATAAGTGATTGTTGTACATACGATGTTTTAGAAGTATAATCTCCGTTAACTAATACTTTGCACGTGTTTCCACCCGTTCTTTCCATACCCGTAAAAGTCAATTTTCCATATATATGTCTGTAAGAAAATACTGTAAAGTAATCGGATGGCTGAATTTGGCCACCTGAGGTAGAGACCTCAGCACTCTGGTTATACTGCATTGAGAGAGGACAGAGCTTGGCAAGATACTAATAAATATGCTTGTCATTTAAACCTTTATCTGATGTTTGTGGAATGTGATTTTATAATTGAAGATGCTTCCTGCACCTGTAGACCCAATATATAGTTAGTCTGTGAATCTTCCAAATTACGTCGTCTCTTTTTTCAATTGAAATTAAGATCTTTGCCTTTTATCAAAATAATATAATTTGAGTCTTAATGTGCCTATGTCGGGAATCAAACACCGGTTTCTGGCCTGATAGGCGAACGCTTTAACCACGAGCGTACCTCATTCCTTGATACTGTTAAAGAATATTCATTGGTTCATTTATTATACATTCAAGATTGAACCCAGTTTTCTCACCATATATCCTTCAGTTTTTATGCTAGTACTTGATCTACACACTGTTGATTTAAAAGATGAATAAATAATGATTGTTTGCGATCTGTATCCAATTTAGTTTTCCATTTATCTAGTAATTTTCAGTTTCTATTTCCTGGAAATTCTGTACGAATTTACTCGTAACAGTTTCACCCAATAACAGTAAAGCATACAGATAATACGTTTCGGTACTTTGCTAGATTAATGAGTACACATTATATTCCATTATATTGAGACACCAAAATGATTAACATAATTATATAATGTATAACAAATTGGACAGCAAAAAGCAAATGCAAAAAGAAAAAGAAAACGCATGAGCAACATAAATGCTGTCAGGTAGTAAGTTGTCAATAATTATCGAAACTCCTTAGTTATGAGCTAATCACTTAATTTTCTATAGTCTACCCAAGAGATGGAAACAAAATAGGTCTACAGTATATTCCGTCGGGTAACTGAAATTATCGAAACTCCTTAGTTATGAGCTAATCACTTAATTTTCTATAGTCTACCCAAGAGATGGAAACAAAATAGGTCTACAGTATATTCCGTCGGGTAACTGAAATTTGAGAAAACGTCCCTATGGGATAATACCTGTATTCCGAATCAAAAAGAGGTCATACCAAGTATGTGCATGTTCACACATTTGCAACAGTAATTTACACCGGGAATCATTAATACATTGCAATCATCTTTTATGAAAGTATAGATCATGAATTTGTTCAGTTATGGTTAGTCGGATAACTCATACAAGTAATCATTAAAATTAGGGACCTACCGGTTCATGTCTGTGTGAACACATCTGTCTGTGTTTTATTGTAACTGGCAGTGTCTTCTTGTATAGCATATATATGAAGTGTACCTAAGGTCAGTTATTTAAACTGTTATGTAATTTCCATTACAAAAAGTATAAACGGTATTACCTACTGGTCAGAAAGACTTATCAGTACCCCAACACCGATCCACTGCCACCACCCCACCCTAGGCCTACCCCATGCCACACCCTCTCTCTCGCACACTCACACACACACACACACACACACACACACTCACTGACATACATATCGCTCTGGTCCATAGAACCGATATTTGAACCTTTTAAACAGACATCATTTGTATGTCAAGAAAGACACGCACGTTATTAGTGGTGCTGAGTCATGGGTATCATTTCACCATGTGTTTCTAATTATCTCAGTACATCATGGCGTGGTCGGATGCGCTAACGATCCCTATGTGACAGTTATATTACAGACCCATTGCAATACATGTTAAAGTAGTGTCAATCTTGTAACACTCTCTTTACCCATTACCAACCATTTACGCATGTACTGAAAATATGGCAAACCTAACCCTGGTCATACGAGATTTCAAGGGTATTGAAACGCATGTCCTACAATCACAGCATTTACATATGTTACACATGTTAGGAAACACATAAAAACAATGGTCAGATTTACACACCTGTGAAATGCATGTAAATGCAGAGTTGAATGTTCGTTTATTTTAACACCTCTTTCAACGTGTGTAAATCTGACGGCCAGATGATACGTAGATTTCAAACGTTGTTCATATTGCCGCCGGATGAAACGAATATTTCCTGACGTTAGTAAATTTGGGTAACACAGTCATTTTGTGTGGTGGTAGTCACACTTGCTTACCATGTTTTCCTGCAGAAATGTACATGACTTAAATTGATAATCAAGAAAATAATTGTGCCACAGGACTTATACTTATATGTATTTCACACTCGTTTCGTTTAAGTCGTATGACACACTTGCTAGTGTAGTAATCTCTATATACCCGCACGCTTTTAGCAATATCCGAGCAATATCACGGCAGGGGACACCGGAAATGTGCTTCCCACACATTACCCATATGGAAAATCGAACCCGTGTCTTCGGTGTGACAAGCGACAAGTAGAGTTGGTCTAAGTTAACGCTCATCACGAACCGCACGTGCATTTGTTTCACTGTTCCATCTACTGCGCTCACCCCCTTGTAATACAAACCAATAATAGCGATTTGAATGTATGATCGTTTGTTAAACAACTTTTGTCCTACAATGAATAAAATTTTGAGATTTAAATGTTCAGTTGGCAAGGCAAATTTATCAGGATTCGCACTCTTCATTTCACTTTATTTGATTTACTTTTTTGTTCAAAGTGAAATTCATCGGTACGTTTTCACTGCAAACAGACTATAGTTGGGTAACTAAAGGGAACAAAAGGGTATGAACGTTTACCGTTTAGAGTCCCTTGGTGGATTCCGATGGCATACACACTGTGGGCGGTTCCTTGGTTACCAGTGACGTGGACCGACGTACCTGGATACAAAACAAAGGCGTGGTCAAGTCGAAGGACATGAAAAATTAACACAGTTAATGAAATTCAAGTTAAATGTGAGCTTAGGATTGTGTTGGAAATAACATAACAAATGCTGTGTTGCACTGTGTTGCATTCCTGCTATATGTCGGCGGTCTGTATATAACCGGGTCTGGACCAGACAATCCAGTGATGAAACAGCACCAGCATCGATCTACCAAACTGGGAACCGATGACATGTGTCAACCAAGTCAGCGAGCCTGACCACCCGATCCCGTTAGTCGCCTTTTACGACAAGCATAGTCGCCTTTTGTGGCAAGCAAGGGTTGCTGAAGACCTATTCTACCCCGGATCTTCTATTTAATGAATTATGCATGCTTATAAATATATTAATACAAAAATATCTCACCTGTACATCTGTACATTATCTATTTAATGAATTATGCATGTTATAAATATATTAATACAAAAATATCTCACCTGTACATCATGTAGCCATATTACTTTAAGCCGTACGTATCACGGCTTGGTATATCTGCAATATTGTAATCTTGGGAACAAAAAAAAAATATTATAAAAAAAATATATTAAAAAAAAAGTCAGCGAGCCTGACCACCCGATCCCGTTAGTTACTGCTTCCGATAAGCATGGGCTACTGAAGGCCAGTTCTAACCCGGATCTTCACGGGTTGCTCTCCTATGGCAGTTGGCAAAACATACGTGGTATGAATGCGTGTGGAGTTTATGAACTTGTCTGTTTGACTGGTTTCAAATTAATTTCTAATTCGGTTAGAATTTCCTCTTACAAGAGGGTTAAATATTCAAGAATGTTAACACTTAATACAATTTCAATATATATTTTGTTCAGCTTCGTTAGTTCAAAGAATAAGCGCAAATTTATAAATGACCGGTATGTGGACTTCATCGTTTTATTCATGGATTAGGTCTTTCTCATGTGTTTATTTATATTTTCCATGCAGAAAATATTTAGAGTATTCCAGTGTTATTGATGCTCGATAACATTTCAGGTAATTGTTCAAGTTAAAATTGAAAATTGAAAGAACCTCCAATTATACACATTAAAGATTAAATCATGTAAAGTTTAGTATAACGCTTATTGAGGTAGTTAAAAACATTTTAACGATTTTCTATAATCTCAGAATCGTGTATTTCTCCAGATACTAGCACTGTGCGAGGCTGGCCATGTAACACATCAGATGGAAACTCTGTCGGGATGTCAGTTTCAACAGGTATCTCACCTTTCTCCGCCATATCCTGAGTACAGTGTTGACTGATCTGAAATAGATGAAAAGGCACTGTACCATTGATTCACTTTACGCCCCAGTCTAATTTCGGGTGGCGGGGTAGCCCAGTGGTTAAAGGGTTCCTCGTCACGCTGAAGACCCGGGTTCGATTCCCCACATTGGCACAATGTGTGAAGCCCATTTCTTGTGTCCCCCGATGTGATATTGCTGGAATATTGCTAAAAGCGGCGTAAAACTAAACTCACTCACTCACCCAGTCGCATTCTCGTTTGTGGGGCGTTCGGGTAGCCTAGTGACCCAGGTTCGATACCCACATAGGTACAATGTGTGAAGTCCGTTTCTGGTGTCCCCCGCCGTGATATTGCTGGAATGTTGCTAAACGCGGCGTAAAACTAAACTCAATCACTCACTCACTTTCTCGATTGTGTTACCGTAAATATATGGAAGCACGGGTATGTGACAATGCACACGTTTACCGCTAACATACGTAACATGCTATATTCATCGCATGTTCCAATAGTCAAGCGATAAGAAAAATATAATGAAGCACCATTTTTAGTTTTATGTATGCCTGGAATTATTTTAATTCCGTTCAAGCTAAAAGATGTTTAATCTACACAATCACCACCATTCACGATTGTTTTATGCTATTTGTCTGTTCAGACTTGTACATACTGAAATATAAGAGAGATAGAACATTGGACTATGTCCAAAAATATTAAAGACTCAGTCATGTGGATCCTTTTCCCAGCATTACAGAACCTGCTTAAAAAGAAATGTAAACTAATAACTGATACAAATTTAATGTTCAAATAGCGAAAGTTAGTGACACAAACACGCAAGAATGATTGTTGACCGACACACCCACACATGTAGACCCTCCACCTGGTTATGGGACGCTACGCTCTGTTTGCGCTTCGCGAGCTGTTTTTTGTAAACAAACTGCGACGGACATATAGTGTTGGTGGGATAACATGTGGCGGCACACAGAACACTATCAGATGGACGGTCATTGGAAAGACAATGTGTGTGAAGGTGTTGATTCCCTTGATCATGTGAACCTCAACATGAAGGAGCCCACCTTCCAACACCTGCTCTTCGCCTTCGGCCACACCCAACAGAGGAGGACGCGGCCACACCTAGGATTCAATATATGAAATACTTACATCTGTCAGACCAGGGAAATTCTTCTACTCAATTGTCTCTCCGCCACTGGACAGGATAAATCCACCATTGGCATAATTCTGAGTGGATAAATCACCTTGTTGTGATCGTGTATCACGTGACGCGATCGTTTTGTTGTGATTGTCACGTGACACGTGTAAGAGGACGTAGAGAGGGGGGTTTATAGTAAGTCTTTGTCACATTTATTTCGAAATTACTTACAATTGTTCCAACTGTTGTAAAGATATCTTAATTTTAATCAGAAATATCTTGAAAAGAATTAAAAAATCGCGAATAGAGTCAATTGTAGATATCTGCAATAACACTCATAATATTGCAAACTGAATTATGCGAGTGAAAGAGTGAGTGAGCACCAGAAATGGGCTTAACACTTTGCAACCATGTGGGGAATCGAACCAAGGTCTTCGGCGTGACGAGCGAACGCTTTAACCAGGAGGCTACTCCACCGCCCCACTGAAGATATAAATAAATTCATGTTTTTAATGATATCAGTAATTCAGGTTTTGATATCTTACAATTTAAAACATATGTCATTAATTAATTAATTAATTATTGATATCTTGAATGGGTGATTATATTTCAATAGGTGATAACACTCCTTTTGAAATGATTTCTGTTTTCGTCCAGTTTAGAATGACGATAATTGTGTGGATATACAACTGTCTATCTATAAAAAGTATCACCATTCAACAAAGTATGTAACTAGAGTGAGTGAGTGAGTTTAGTTTTACGCCACACTCACCCGTATTCCAGCTATATGGCGACGGTCTGTAAATAATCGAGTCTGGACCAGACAATCCAGTGAGCAACAGCATGAGCATCGATATACGCAACTGGGATACGATGACATGTGTCAACCAAGTCAGCGAGCCTGACCACCTGATCCTGTTCGTCACCTTTTGTGAAAAGCATTGCTGACTGAAGATCAATTCTAACCCGGATGTTCACGGATCAACAGGACTGAGTGCGTGAGGACAATCTATACACTATAAACCTGTCGCCAAAGGATAATAAACACACCAAGGCATCACAGATTTGGTGTAAAAGCAGCATGTTTTAATACAATGTATCATTACAGAAAACAATACAATATAACAAACAGGCTGGAGATCACCAACAACTGAAGGTAGATCACCATACCAGGGACCATGGGGACTTACAGTACTTTAGGGGGCGGTGGGCTAGCCTAGTGGTTAAAGCGTTGGCTCGTCACGCAGAAGACCCGGGTTCGATTCCCCACATGGGTACAATGTGTTAAGCCCATTTCTGGTGTCCCCCGCCGTGATATTGCTGGAATATTGCTAAAAGCGGCGTAAAACTAAACTCAGTCAGTCAGTACAGTACTTTAGCTGACTGAATGAACCCCAGCTGGAGCTAACCATCCCTTCAGATGTTGGCGACTATTGAGAAATTTAGCCAGCATTAACACAACGAATATTCTACTAGTAAAACGATGGTGGATATAAAATACTTTGATGAAATGGGACCTACGTACCCAGTAAGGGGGACAATAGTTTCGGTACTTCAGTCCCTGTTGAAGCCACAGCCACAATGAATCTCTGTTAATAATCATATACTCCCAAGATATCACTTTGTACATCAGAATGCATGAATTAGATCCTTGTCTTTTAAATCATCCAATATTAAATGAGAATAAATATTTACTGTTTTGGCACTATAATATTTATCCCTTGTCACGAAAAAGTCAATACATTCATGCATGTAACTGAGTAGGTGATTAGGTATTAGATCCTAAAATAGATGAAGAATTATGTTGTTAGACCTTAGCAATATAATAGGTTAGTAAAGTAGAATGGGTAAGTAGTTGTACTAGAATCTGTACTTTACTAAGAAAGTGTAATCGCAAATATAACATATTTTAAATTAGACAAGTTTCTAAATTGTGTATTCATGGAAGGGTAATGTGTTAATACTTGTATTCTAAAACCAAAGTTCACAAATCAATACAAAGGTATCACTATGACAGTACAAACCAATGTGGCAGTACAAATGCAAAGCTAGTATAATACGAGAGCAGTGGTCACAGCAATAAAAACAATGGTGGTAAGTTTCATCTCGGCAACTGTAATCCATCAATCAAGAGACTGACTGACTGACTGAGTTTAGTTTTACGCCGCTTTTAGCAATATTCCAGCAATATCACGGCAGGGGACACCAGAAATGGGCTTAACACATTGTGCCCATGTGGGGAATCGAACCCGGGTCTTTGGCGTGACGAGCCAACGCTTTAACCACTAGGCTACCCCACCGCCCTATCAATCAAGAGAGGGCAAGGCAGAATATCCAAGGGTATAGAGTTATCACACACAACGCTGGTCTTCATGTGGCTTGTGATGAAGTACAAATTAAGCTAGTATAATACAAGAGCAGTGATCACAGCAATAAAGACACTGGTGGTAAGTTTCATCTCGGCAACTATAATCCATCTAGCAAAAGAGGGCAAGGCAGAATATCCCAGGGTAAAGAGTTATCACACACAACGCTGGTCTTCTCGTGGCTTGACATGAAATGTGAGGCGAGGGGCAATGACCAGCGCCCCGAATATGCACAAGATGAAGATGCAAGAAGATTCTACCAATACTCCCTCAGGCAGATGATTCCGGAATCAGCCCATCTTTAGCAAGAAAAACGTAGGCAGAGTCACACTCCGGCGCAGTGATGACTTAGCATAACATCACTGCCACAGGCTAATTTGCATATCACGTGACCGGACTTTTCTCTTGTTTGTTAACAAACGCGCATATTTATAATAAGAAGAGCCCGGCCTTACGCAAGCTTTTCGACGCGCTCTTCACAATGTTTTACATTGTTACATGTATATTCTTCCACAACTGCGACAGTAAGATTTATGACGGTACAACCTATGTAAACAAAGGAGTGAGTATGGTTTTACGCCGCTTTTAGCAATATTCCAGCAATATCACGGCGGGGGACACCAGAAATGGGCTTCACACATTGTACCCATGTGGGGAATCGAACCCGGGTCTTCGGCGTGACGAGCAAACACTTTAACCACTAGGCTACCCCACCGCCCTGTAAACAAAGGATCGCTACGCAAATCGAAATAGTGTTACATGTTTTAGGATATTTTCTCAGCGAAACTAAACCATTCTATCAAAGATGTTTAATTAGATGCGTAGACTCGTCAAAAATAAAAGAGTTAAGAAATATGTACATGATACTGAATATCGTCACATTTTGCTGGCCTGTGGCAGAGGTACTATGCTGGCTGGCCGCATGGAACTCTGGGTAGGAGAGTGAGGCAGAGTATCCCAAAAAGAATGATCACACTAAATGTTGGTCTCCGTGTGGCTTGGGATGAAATGTGAGCTCCCCTAAGATAAAGATGAAAGAACATTCTACAATAGTCTCTAAGACGGATGGTTGTGGAATCATGACCTTGTAGCTCTTTTCAGATCATTTTGTCTAAATCTACCACATGTCTAAACACAGCACACCACTACCTCTTTCTGGATGTAAGAGTGGCGGAACCGGGGTGTGTGTGTTGGTTCAGGGGTTCGAACCCCCCCATTTGAAAATGACTTAAGACCACATTGAAAACAAAATTTGCGTTGGCGGAGCCAAGGGGGGTTCAGGGGGGTTTAACCCCCGACCCCCCCTTTCAAAATTCCTGGATCCGCCCATGAGGTACAATGTATAACAGTTGAAACTCTGTTGTACAAAGTATAACACTTCCTCAAAACACCTAATCGAATGTGGGAAGTAAATAATTATGTGACTAATGGATAGCAGAAAAAATAATCATATCAGTAATCAATATATGTATACATCAATACATTAATCGATCACATAAATCAATAATGCCAATCTGAATAAATATAAACACATACTAAACCAGTAAAACAAGCTAGACTTTTTTCTCTTACCTGAAAATCTTAAGAATTGATGACAGAGGTTCTGGAGTCGTCACTGCAGTAATTGATTTTGGAAAACATGAAACGGAGTACTTCTTTCAAATTGAAGGTACGGGTTATGAGGCACCACTGAAAGGCAATTGTATAAGAAAGGTACCAACCAAGGATTTCGATCTATCGATCACAATACGGACGACGAATCTATTCCGTTAGGTATCAGAAACTGATGAGGTGATTACCCGCAATGAAAATAGAAAAAACAGCTAAGAAAACCGTGCCCGATTTTGTTGTTCTTTGTAAGACAGAAAGATTTTATTTTAGGCATGAGTTATGTTTGCACTGTATTTGCGACAAATCACAACCATATGCCGCCGTCATGAACGACCTTCACCCTGGTGTACCGATAAGTATTCTTACGCAAATGCTCGATTCTCTTCAAATAAATTCACGTACAAGTTGCTTCTTGTTTTAGAGTAATTTTAAGAATGACATTATATGATAAAGAGATTATTAACCTCGTGTGTTTCCGTATCATTAATATTATATATTAGGAATAAAAAACATGTATTATGCTCCAAAGGCTCGCATAATACAATTAAAGCTCGCATAATACAATTTTTATTCCTAATATATGATATCAATGATACGGAAACACACTCGGTTAATAATCTCTAATTATTTTACAAGTTAAAAAAGAATATGCTATACCAATATATAATTTTTCACAGATTAATGACGTTTTAAACTCTGGTGTACGATTTCTAATTAATGATCATTTATTCCTGGAAACTCTGCTTATGAAAACAAGGGGCAAAACAATATCGTATGCTTCTTTCAAGAAAAAAGGAAAGAGATAACAAAAAGAATGCCAGTTAATTTCAGAAATAGAAATATTGGAAAATAATTTTAATGAATCTATAGTTGATGAATTGGAGACTAAAAAAGACGACTTGCAGCAAATACATAAACAAAAGCTGGATGGGATTTTGATTAGATCCAAGGCTAAATGGATTGATGAATGTGAAACTATAAGTAAATGCTTCTGTATTCTAGAGAACAAAAACCATATAAGTACAAATATGAAAGAAATAGAATCGAAATATGGGAAAGCATTAATCAATACGGATGATATTATAGAAGAAGCAACAAGTTATTACCAAAACATCTCAAGAACACTTAGTTACAGATATTGAACTCGAATCACTCTTATCTTAACAAGGTGTAAA